CCTTCGCCGCCGCCGAGGCCGCCGGCATCCCCACCACGCTGGTACGCACACTCACGCACACTCACACGCACACTGACACTACGTACGCGTCGCTGTCGCCGCACGACAAGCGCACCAACTTCGCGCTCGCCTTCGCCGCCGCCGAGGCCGCCGGCATCCCCACCACGCTGGTACGCACACTCACGCACACTCACACGCACACTGACACTACGTACGCGTCGCTGTCGCCGCACGACAAGCGCACCAACTTCGCGCTCGCCTTCGCCGCCGCCGAGGCCGCCGGCATCCCCACCACGCTGGTACGCACACTCACGCACACTGACACTACGTACGCGTTGCTATCGTATCGCCTTCGCCAGAACAAAAATGTTAGTGTCTTCATAACAGAAGTGAACAGGCTTTTGTCATACAACACTGCGATTTACCACTTTGTGCTATATGGCCACTTACCAGCAGGACTGTTGTCAAACACTGGCTGCCGATAAATTAAACAAATTACTTATCCCTGGTCTTGGTATTTAATCAGAGCTATACTAGATGTTTATAATGTAACCTATTCTAGGCTTATTATCCACACTATTAGCGCATGTATTGAAATAGGTTAATGGATTATCTCGTGTCGCATCCACACGATTCAGAGTAGTATACAATAAAGCAATATTTAATTCTGCACAGAACATTCAAGACATGATCCAGCAGGAGAGGCCGGACTGGCAGCAGGTCATGGCGTACGTCACTAGCATCTATAAACACTTCGAGACATAAACTCTATTCGTATTGTGATAAAAATTAAATTGCATTCCCAATGTTTCACAGGAAAGAAACGTATTTTAAAGAAGTTAAAGTCCAAAATTGTATAACTTTAGAAAAATTTCATTCGCTTAATGGAGGGTAGTTTCAATTTTTTAACAGTCGCCTCGTATATGTAACAATTAAACATTCCTTGTAAGCATTTCGTGTCAAGCCGCCATTTTATATACCGGCTAATGAAAATGACTTCCTTTGTTATTGGTGTGTAAGGATTTGATGACCGTCTTTCCGTAAATAAAGACTGATAGGTTAGTTGTAGCTGGCACCGTCGATAAGTTGATGTCGATTGACTTGAAGCTCTACTGCAACGGTATATGGTCCAAAATAATTCAATCACTTGAGCGATCATGCCTCTTGCAGTTGAGTCTCATGTTAATAAAGTTGCAGTAAGGAAAAGAGGCCTTTATCGAATCGTGATTTTACTTGGACCGAAAGTATTAGATATAAGCAAAATGCCTTAGTTGGAAAAGAGCCTTGAAATACGCGTGAGTAGAGAAACCTTATTGTTTTAGAAATAAGATTTATAATGGCTTGTGCTTACGAATTTAAGTATTTATATAGGCAAAGATATACATCGATGTTTACATACAGTCGCCATTTTTATTATAATTATATAAACTTTAATTTAACAATGCTAATAAACAACTAAAGGCGTCTGAAACTTTAGTGATAAATGTGTTTTCGTCAGATGAACCAATTTATTGAGATATTGTAAAATATTTACTAACAAACTACTGCATGATGGATGTTGTAAAATATTTGAGTGCGTGGACCAGCTTTTTTATTTGTCCCAGCGGCTATGCAGGTCTAACAAGGTCATTATCACTAATAGTATAATCTATTGTGATCGCTGCTGTGGCTATATTTAACTGCAGTTAAGTACGTAGTTTCCTAGATGAGAGTTAACTTCGCGCATTAGGGGACTGAAATCAGTTAGGATGTGTAGAGGTGTTTCTACCAATGACTAGTCAGCACTCTTGCGAAAATAAGTTTATTCTTATTTAATCCCAGGGTTTCTGCAGTGAGTTTGTCGATAGGCTTGCTAATAACTTTAAATATTATACGTGAGCACAGAGCTAAATAATAAAATAACAAATATATCTAGTAAATATAGTATATTCTACAGATATTGGTCTTGTCTACTCTCTGAAATATTTTGACGATACATCATGTTCGTACTCATTGTACTCTCCCTCGTAGGTATATCTTATTTAATCGGTGTGTATTTATAATCTATGCTGGACTAAAGCCATTTAATCCTTGTCTGTAATTTTCATCATATAACCAAGTATAGAAAATGATATCCTTATGCGGCATTTTAATCGATTTTGATATTAAAATTCGTTCGATAAAACTTACCTTTTCTTGAGTCTGATGCCAAGTATATTCACTGTCGTGATGCAAATTCATTTCTTATCTTAAACACGTATTTCGTATCTGAATTATTTTCAACGCATCATAATGTCGGTTATTTTAAAATAAGAAGCGAGATGCTGACAATACCGATAAACTTTGAGAAGGCCCGCGTAAACTGGCTCTACATTATACTTAGTTGCAGAATATTATGTCCAATCGCAATTACTTAACGGTCGAAAATATTAAAATCAATTCTGCCATACTTACTCACATACCTACAGAACAATAATGCATTTTGTTCCACCGAGTCAATTGCAGTACAACTCCACGATAAATGCTATGGCGTCAAGAAAACTAACAAACGTTACGTGAGCTTTCTTTTATCTTTTGACATGTCCGTGATTTGTCCTGTGACCTTTTGGTCTGTTTTTTGGGAGTAAGGCTTTTTTGGTAAAAAAGCGAAGATACCAAGTTGAGTTGAGAACTAATTTTTTGAATCAAATTCAAATATAAGTCATATTTTTGGATTGCGTTCGAAGCATTTTTGCGTTTACTGCTTCAGAAAGCAGTTACACTAACCATTAATTATGAAAGATACATAGTGTGCACGAGTAGGGTTCCGACATGTCGATGTATATGATTACGTATTAATGGAACTCTGTGTGCTCTCCTTACAAAATAATTTCAAAAAGCCTATTATAGACTTCCTAAATTGAATTTAATTGAATTTATTTGATATAGAATTTTGAAATAGATAGTTCAAAAATAAAATTAAGTTGCTTCCACAACCCTACACTTGTTTGATTTTGTATTCACAAATAATTTTAACATTAGGAATGTTTTGAACTAATGTAATGCATTGTGTATTTAAGTGAATGATTTTGAATGTACTTGATTGTATAGCATCACTTGTTTTCTTTTTATCATTGTCTTGAACTTTTTTTGCTAAAAGTTGACATTACAGATTATAAATTAAGTTTGGATTTTTATTGCCATGTTACCTCAACACAGGCGCCTAACTATGAACAGTAATATCGTTAAAAAAAAACTTAAATATCTGTACAAGTTTTTATTTGCTACCCCATGTTGAAGTAATAAGGCAATTGAGTCAAATATTAGCATTTATATGGACCATATTGGCTGGAAGTCTGTCAGTATACGTGTTACAAATTGAACTTTATTACGAAGAGCGTAAGAACGAAAATCCCACTCGTATGGTTGACAGGCTACCTGGTAGTAGGTTTGAGATATTCGCAGGCACCGGAGCCTGGCTCGTTTCCGACTTCGTTTGTTGAAGCTATGATAGAATAATTATTGTCTATTTTCAGATATTTGTATTTTTGTACATATAGCTTAAATAAAGTTCCTGATTTATTATTTAGTGAGTCTTTTATTGCGCATATTTTTAAATATCCATTCATTCATCATTTCTTACAGCCTGTCGAAGTCCATTGCTAAACATAGGCCTCATATTCTCCGTAGATGCTGCACTTGGCAGGTGGGTTGGCTGCCGCAGTTTTTTTATTTCCTGGTTGCCATTAGAAAGGCGCTTTACTTTCACGAATTTTACTATAAAGATATTTAATAATAAAGATCTGCCACATTACAGTGATGCACGCAGTATAGTACGATGTGTAGTGGCAGACCGTGGCGTTAATGTGCTTAAAGTAATTACAGGCTTTGTAAATTGTTTCATCTGGGTCAGAGGTTCAGTGGTAACAACTTTCTGGTAGTGTTGTCTGTATGAAGTTGGTTGTTAGGGGGTAGCAATAGGCATTTACCATCAGCTGGACTTCAAGCTCTTTGGTCCTTGTATCATAAAATCATTGTTTTGAGCAAGGTCGAAAATGATTTTACTTTAGTTTTACTGTCAGTAATCTAGTACGGTACACCGTGTAATGGCGGTGTAAGAACATCCTACCAATAGTTACCTCTATAGTTTATAGTAGAAAAATCGGTGGTTGGCAACCCGCTTACCAAGCGTCGCAACTATGGCAAATCCCCCAGAGGCCAATATTCAGCCGCAGGCTATTGATAGGCTGTAGTGGTAATATCTAGTACAATTTACATCATACGTGTGAAAAAAAATGAAACAACGAAAAATATCACAATGTTTTTATTAACCTATTATGTAGTTTCAATAAAACACACATCGGTCATAGATCACACTGCGATAACTTAATGTAAACAACATTAAATATTACAATAAAATATAAATATTATCACATTATTTTAAACATCGGCTTGTATAATAATTTACATAACACTAAACATCGTATTTTAGCGATAAGACGTTAGAATATCGGTTAAAGAAGATGGATCTAAATGGAAAATAAATATTTATCACAGTGGCTTTAGTTATAAATTTAAAAATAATGATTGATGATTGTTTTGAAAACTTTTTCAATAAGGAGTAATAATCTTACAGTCACCAGATGTCGCTAGTTAGGACTGAGGTGATTTTATTTATCACGAAATTTATCACACAACTTATCATCATCATTAAAAAGTTACGTTTTAAATAAAAGTTTTGCAGTTTGCAGTGTATGCATATTGCATACACTAAACAATGTCTAAGTGCTGTATTCTTTTATTTTTTACACATTTTTAACTTTTTTTAATTCTTCTACTTTTAGGAACGTCCGTGGTTTTGTTTGTCAACTTCTTATCTAATTACCATAAAATTTAACTAATATTTCAGAAAATTAATCTCTACATTTTACTAACAAATTAACTACCCCCGTCACGAAATCAGACAAATATTGCACCTCATTCCAAAGTGGCGCCGCCCTGGTGACTGAAAAAGTCGTTAGATGAAGCCCTCATTGTCGTGTCTACCACTCGAGCACGCCGGGAATGTACTTCTCTATAAGACCCTCGTAGTAGGGCCACAGCGCCTCGATGTCCGGCACGCCCGCGCTTTTCGTGTACAGGTCGTATTGGCTGCAGAGAAGGTTTCATTAGGTTTTCTTTTTATATTATTAAACTGTATATTTACAATCACCGATGTTTAAATCTGACGAATCCGGTTGTTTTTCAATTTCGAAAATTATAAAGATAAAAAAGTAAAAATATCGGGATCTATAGTTTTTGTTACTTTATAATAGCTGCATGAAAGGGTTCTGTGGAGATATTTAGATTTTAAATTAATTCTAAAGTCTTCTCAGTGAAAGACGTGAGCACTTAGGCGCTGCGCAAACCTAGGCACTTGTGTCTTATGTGGGATACAAGCCACTAATGAATATTTTATTTTCATATAATCAATATGAAATCAGTCATTCCTTTCGCAGACGCAGACACTTTTTGTGTCCAGATGCTTCCACTTGACACATACCGACCGCCAATCAAAAAGTGTTCGGTGTAGGTAACTGGAAACTAAGTCGTTAGTTAAAGACACAAGCAACACAAAGAAAATTTTCTTACAATTTTACGACGTTGACATTGGCGTGGTTGATTTGCCTGTATATATTGACGGCGATAACGTCTACGTCAACGTGTAATCAACACAACAAGCAAAGGTAACGTTCCTCCATCGACATCCAAGGTGAAACTGACGGAAAACAAGCAACGAATTGTTACCAGTGTGCAGAAGTACATACGTCTACGGTTTCCTGTGATGGTGTGCCGGAAATAAAAAGTGTCCACGTTTGCGCAGCATGTTAATGTACCTATAAGTAGATATGTTGTGGTGAAGGCTAAAGAGAATCCATCAACGTATTACGTCCCGTAGGTGTCGGTAAGAGGCGACTATGAGATATTCCAGAAAATGCTTTTGCCTTCCGATAGATGGCGGTACAACCAACTTGTTTACGGCAGACGTAAAATATCCCGAGCGGCGACGAGCCTTAGGGTCAAAGGTGCGAGCTGTCTGGTGCTGCGATCGTCAACCTGCTTTGCTAATGTTACGACCTCCCTACAATGGAGATCTAGCAGTGCCTTTTACGTGCTGATGATGATATCAGAAGAAGAAGTTTATAAGTTATATTAATTTAAATGTGAGCATGTTACACAAGCTAGTCGTATCATAGTTATATGTGGTAGAGCCACGCTGCAGCAAAATTAAGGTTGCAGCACCGATTCGGCGCGACGAGGGAAGAACCACGCTCTCAGAGAATACCAGGGTAAAACAGCAGGCTTAATGCTGCTGTGTTTCGTATGGTGAGTGTAGAGAACCGGAGACCCATTTTACTGGAAACGAGGCATTCCATCGTATTCCTCACGGCTGACAACGCATCTGCATTTCGATTTCAAATCGAAGATAAATGTAAATGTCTATGGACCACAGCGTTCATTTAACATCAGGTGGACTGTGTGGTCGCTTGTTACCCCCATTCTATATAAAAAAAACTAGATACTTAACATCACAGAGTCATTATTGGGGCGATGTATACGCTTTTACAACAAAATCACAGAAAATATACAAAATTTGACTTCCGCCAAGCTTAAAAACTTTATTATACAAAGATTGTATAAAAAGGGTTAAATTGTTTACTATGATGATGTAAACTGTGCTTTTTTTAAAAAAGAAAAGTCCCGCTGGGTTTCTAGTTGGTTCTTCCCAGGACAAAGGTATTTTCCGAACCAGCGGTAAATTAAGTGTATAGTGATTTTCAATAAGTATTATTTATAATCTATAGCGTGTAATGACTGTGTATTATAGTGTGTAGTATAATATTCTTATCCACTACCCCATATCGTCCCGTGGGTGTTGTAAGAGGCGACAGAGAGAAACTGAAACAAGAGATTGGCAGCAGCATCTTCTACAACTTCAACTTCAAGTATGTCAACTATGGCGAAATCCTCCTCTTGAAGGGAATCTATGGGGAGGCCTATGTTTACCAGTGGACTTTTATGGGCTGTAATCTGTAATGGATTGATAGAAGGATAATTCATATTAAATAAAAAAGGTTCTAATCTATTGTATTATATAAAATTAGAAATTGATAAAGTGAAAATATGTAGCGGATGGAATTTCATTGTGTAGGTATCATGTGATAACAAATAACAATAAACTTGAACTCACTTGAACTTAAGTACGGCTTCTTTGATATAGCTGTCCTTGTCGGTGATAAGATGACTGTAGTCACCGCCAGCATGCCACGGGTAGAACGAGTGGTACCTGAGAATCGTATCAGCGTAAGTTAAAGAATATTCAATAAACAAGTGGTCAAATTAAAAATTCGGTTTTACAAGCCGAATTCAATACAAATAAAATGAGAACATCATCAATATGGTCGAATTCAATTAAATACGCATTATTAATTTTAATCAATTATTATAATATATAAGCATTATTATTATTATTAAAGATAATAACTCAAAAACAATGGTCAGATCTTGATCAAACTTATATGGGGCCACATGAGAAGCACCAGCTTTCCAATAAAAAAAGAATCACAAGTACACAAAAAAATACAGTCGCATTGAGTACCTCCTACTTTTTTGAAGTCTGTTGAAAATTATTACTATCCCTGCAAATATGCTTTAGCGTGTAATATCCGGAGCACGAATGGGACCGCTCGACCACTGGATAATAAAGCCAACCCAATTTTAAGTAGAAATAAAGGAGACAAACGGTCTCCGGTTCTCCACACACACCATACGAAATAGCAGCGGTAGGCGGCTATTTTACGATGGTATTCTGTAAGAGCGTGGTCCTACCCCGATTGAGTCGACTCATTCGTGCTACAACCATAATATAGCTGCAGCGTGGCTCTACCACGTACTAAAAGTTTCGGAGACCCTTTTACTGGAAACATAAAACGGTCTCCGGTTCTCGACACCCACCATACGAACCACAGCCGCATTAAGATACTGTTTTACGCTATTTTTTTGGGAGCGTGGTTGTTTCCCGGTTAAGACGACTTATTTGTGCTACAATTATGAACTAGCTGCAGCATGGTAGGCCAGTTATATTAACTAAGTACGACTACCAGTAACTGTAAGTCTCAGGTGCGTGGAGGAGCTTTAGCTTACTGGTGACACAATTAACAACTATCGTACGCGGCAGCCACGGGCGAAGCGGAACAAGAAGAATTTTAAGGCATTTGTGTGCTATCGCAAGGTTCTGCGGGGAATCTGTTGGACTTGACACCCGTTCCCCTTCCGCCTCTCCCTCAACCCTTGTTGAGATGACTAGTTGTTATTTATATGAAATTTTAAAAAATGCATAAGAGCTATAAATTTCCGCGGAGGGAGATACAGGTAGGTCAACCGTCCCAATCCTACCCGCCGCATTTCCTCACTTCCCCCCCGCTTCCGCCACGAGCGCAAGACACTATAGAAACCTGAAAAATACGACTACCTAAATGGACCATCGTGGAAGAAGTTTTACGAACGTACCTTATCATATAGAGTGCTTCCTTAGGCAGGGTGGACTTGTTGTGAACGAGCACCCGATAAAGATATTCGTCGTGACCCCACGACATCATCAGGTTCTCTATACCGCAGTTTGGCTCGTACATCCCGCACTCGGTACTGCAATGGAATATAGTTGTAACAGATTATATAGTTGATGTTAAAGAAAACAATGTTCCAAGGGGAGATTCAATTATCCGTCCATTACAGTTTTTCAAAATTCACTGACGAACAAGGGCCTCCCACACAGATTGCTTAATAGGGAGGATTTTGCCATTGTTGGCACACTTGGCAGGCGGATTGGCTACGGCAGTTTTTTATAATTTTGAGTTGACATCAGGAAGTTGCTGCTGCCTGTCCCCTGTTCCAGTTTTCTTCAGTCTTTCTACAAAACCTACGGGACGATATGGGCTAGTTGATACTTGTACACCGCCACTACACGGTGAATAATAAATCTATATTATATACCAATAATATAGGTCGGGGTTTCGCTACGTGATAGACTTTAAAGTGAGGATATCCGCTGTAGAAACAGAGTAACCGACATAGCCCAACTGTTAGTAAGCTGAAGTGGCCTTGGGCCGGCCATATAGCTCGAAGAACCGTAAACCGATGGGGAAGAAAGGTTCTCGTAAATGAAATGTACGGCGGCCCCCACTAGATGGAGAAAGGACCTGGTAAGACATGTAGGAAGTCGATGGATACAGGTGGCTCAGGACTGTGCTTTGTGGCATTCCTCGGGGGCCCTATGTTCAGTGAACTTGGCATGTAATGATAATGATGACACTATAAAAATTACGTAATGAATTGAGCGATTAGAATAGTAGTAATTCAGTCAAAAATTTTATAGAACTTACCTTACGCGTAACTCTCGCACTTGACGATTTTTTATTAGAAACTTAAATCTCTTTACTTCTGTTAAAAGCTATGAATTGATAATACAAAGCGATAGTAGGCTACAATGGATAGGGATTTAGGGCGCGGACTTCTAACTAGGAAAGTGGTGAGTCCGAATCCATGGTGAATTGGTTCGACTTTTATGGTGCACCAAACCTTTGTTACTTGGAGTGGTTTACGGAAGTTAGTAATATTATAGCAATATTATTCCTTTTTTGACGATTCTGTGTTCTTACTTGTACTTTGGGTTGTAAGTGTCAGGATTATCCTTAAAACTGTCGTCGCCGTACACGATGCTTTTGCCCCACTTACATCCGACGGGAAACGTGTCGCCCACCACGCACCACTGCGGCTCGCCATAGAATGCCATAACCTGGACAAAAATAAAAACCATTAGACGCCTACGTAAGTATACATTAACGACTGCTCCGTTCGTTCAGTGGTTGTAGTGAAGTGCAACCTCTGATCATGAGGTCCCGGGTTTGAATCTCGAGTCGGGCCAAAATTAGTTATTGGGTTTTTCTGTCGATATATTCTTATTAGCAGTCCGCAGTCAGTAAGTTGGAGGTATTTCACCTGCATGCCTCGGGAACCACGTAAAGTCGTTGGTCTTACGCTTAGTCTCTCTCCGGACGTATTGGTTTGCTGTCCCATCGGACTAAGAGTGAGGTGAGCGACTGCGCTTCCTCATACTCTCGCGCACTATAATCTCCGCCATTGCCGAAATTCGGTCTGGCGGACATTATATTCATATTATTATTATTATATGTTATTATCTCTCTTCCGTATACGGAAAGATGATGTAGATGTACTTGTGTATATTTACAAACCTTGCCGAGGTCGTGGATGAGTCCAGTGAGATGGAACCAATCATCGTCGGGATAGTCGTGTCGGATGCGCTCAGCGGTCTGGAAGGCGTGCACGATGTTGGGCAGATCTGTATCCGGGTCTGACTCGTCTACCAACTCGTTCAGTTTGATCAGTGCATCCTTAACCGTTAACTTAAAGTGGTTAAACTTGAGCCAATGGTCCATTTTACCTATATGGGTGAAAAATATTAACTTTACGTAATCTTATTAATATTTTTTCTTTCTTTTTTTATAAAAAACGTTACCCTTAATCTATAATTTTTTACTGTATCGTGGAGGCAGTTTAGGATAAACAACCATACCTGGTACAATTATTTGTAGGCCATACAAATATTTGTTCCGTACGGGATTCGACCCACTCATTGCTAAGCCATTGCGCCACGGAACGGAACCGTCAATTTTTTTTATAGAATAGGTGACAACCGAACACACAGCTCACCTGATGATAAGTGGATGCTGTGGCCCATAGACATCTACATTTATACTCAAATAAGAATCAAAATGCAGATGCGTGTCACCCCTGAGGACTAAGTTGCAATGCCTCGTTTCCAGTACCGGAGTATCTCCGGTTCTATACACTCACCATAACACCGAAACACAACAGCATTAAGCTGCTGTTTTACGCTGGTATGCTGTGAGAGCGTGGTCCCACTCTGGACGAGCCGGCCCATTCGTGTTACAACCATAATATAGTTGCAGCGTGGTTGTGGCTCTACTACTTAAATTATCGGCTATTAATTATATTATATTATTGAAAGCAACCTATATAATTTTGTGGAATATAAACTCACTTTTTACAAAGTCGACGGTCATGTTGGTGTGCATGGTGTAATAGGTCCTACGCACACGCTCCCGGATGGGATCGTTGTCGTCCATGGAGTAGTCGCGGAATGCTTCTACTGGTTTGCCATCGTACACCTTCTCGGGACGTAGCAGCAGAGATGGGTCTATCATGCCCACGGCATTATCCTTAAAAAGTTATAAAGAGAAACATTATGTATAAAACAATGCCATGGCAATATTTACATTTGGTGAAAGATGGCCCCCGAATTTTCTTGCTGGTTCTTCTCTAAGAAGGTCTCATTTTGCTAAGCGGTCTCAGTCGTATATTTAAACGAATTTTGTTATTTCAAGCCACGCTGAAACTAAGCCAAAAACATAATATATATATATATATATATATATATATATATATATATATATATATATGTACCAACATATTGTAAGAGCGCGTACTTATGCACACTTATGCATCTTAAATCATTTGCAACTTGATTTAATGATTTCTTATAATTTACGCGAACACTACAAATTTAAATAAAACTAATTTTACGGATTTTATCGCGTATATTAACTTTTTATTTATTTTATATTCCCGACGTTTCGGACACTTTTCAGCACCCATGGTCACGGGGGGGACTTAGGTGTATGACGTCCCAATGTCATAGTGAACCACGGCTACCTCGGGAATATAAAATAAGTTAATATACGCGATAAAATCCGTAAAATTAGTTTTATTTAAACTTGCTTTAAGTTTGATTTTAGTTGTATATGTGTACGTCGAGCAGTGGACTTTTATGGGTTATTAGTTATAAAGAAAAAAAAGTAAGATGTGTGCGTGAGTGCGGGTGAAGAAGTTGAGTATGGGTTCACTTGAAATGTGCTCCGTCTACGAGTATATCATTCTTTGCCGGTCTAAATGTTGTTCATAAAAGCATCAAACAAGCCTAAGTTAAATAATAGTTTTGACTTTGACTTTAACTTTGTATTATATTTATGCGAGACGAATTGTAGCAGATGTCACTTTTTACCCCTTGACCTCGACAGATGGGAAATATCAGACATTATGTGTCTGTTAAAAATTGTTATTAATCTCATCACTACCCTTCCTTATTAGAGTGTTTATCAGCTGGCTACCACGCAAATTACCTGTTAGACGCACCCAACCTCCAGCAATACCCAGATATAACATTAATTATCGCCGCAACTCTTTCTTTATTCGCGCAAGTAACTTTTTCAACAATCTCACATTAGGTAAACTTGGAATGATTACGGACTTAACCGTCAACCGTCCCACTCTACGTGCGTCACATTTTTTTTTGCTTCTACCTCGTTTTTGTATTTTTAATTAAACAACTTTTTTTTGTGGAAAAGCTTGTGAGGTCTATATATCTACATTTTAATTTCCATATTATGCGAATACCTTTAATTATGTCGATTTTAGGTTTGGTAACAAGCTAAATGTACGAGTAGGTATCATTGCTGCTCGTTGTCGGAATGAAATCAATAGTACGCGTATAACCTACAGAGAGCATAAGCATTAATTTATATTGCCTTTATGAAGTTTTTTACACAGGCATTTTACATAGAGTGATATTGTCATTCAAAATTCCGTTCAAAGTTGAAGCAGGCCTCTGTCACTTGCTACCTGCGTGAAATAATTATCTACAATCCAATCGCGAGGCGGCCCCGGGGCAGAACGCAGTCAGGGCTAGCGCGTTCTAGGCGATTGAATGTTAAAAGTTTTTTAACGTTGTTTACGGAAATAGTTTTTTGTAAATACTTGCTGAAATACTCGCAGAAATAGTTTCTGTTTAGTGTTTAGTATATTTAATTGTAGGATAAAATAGTTGAAAAAGGTTTACATAACGTAATTGAAGAATTATATATATATATATATATATATTTCATAAATTATAATGGCAAAACATCGTTCCTATTATAATTGTTCCTACTATATTTGTAGATGCTTAGTGAGGAATCAAAAGGATTCACATAGATCATTTTTTAGTTACCGAAAGATAATGAAAGTAGATTTTTTTTAGATAGGTGCTTATAACGAATAAAGAATCAAGTAATAATTTAACTACAGAAGTAATACCTAAGTACTTTATTGCAGAACTTACTTGTTTACTTCAGTACCCAAGTACCTCTAACATATTATCTATACTTTTCTTTTGTAATTAAAATATTTTAAGTTTAATAACACAAAATACTGTAATTAAAATTTAAAACTTTGTTTAGAAGATTTTTTAACAAAGTATAATACTATCACATTTATGTCAGGAATCGTTTTTCAGGTTTTATTTGTTGTTTACACTATCTACGTATTTCTTAGGAGCCAAGCATGGCGATTGCCGACGAATGGCCTTGCAAGTTGCATGCGTTGGGTTGGGCATCACAGAACTCACATAGTAGCGGAAATATGGTCGATCATAGTCAGAATAGGTACTTTACCTAAGTAACTTACTTACAATTTCACAATGTGTTTTTTTACTCTTTATCTTAGATAATTTTTGTACGTGGTAGAGCCATGCTGCAGCTATATTAATAGAATAGTTGTAGCACGAATGGGTCGGCTCGACCGGGGAAGGACCGCGCTCTCACAGGAAACCAGCGTAGAATAGCAACTTAACACTGTTGTGTTTCGTATGGCGACTGTAGGGAACCGGCGACCCTTTTTACTGGAAAAGAGGCATTCCATCTTAGTCCTCACGGGTGACAACGCTTCTGCATTTTGATTCTTTATTGAGGATAGATGTGGATGTCTATGGGTCACAGCAACCACTTACCATCATGTGGACTGTGTGCTCGTTTGTCACCCTATCCTATAAAAAAAATAAAAAAAATTACTCTCCTTTATTAACTATCCTTAGTGACCACGGAAAGTCCGTGGTGACGTAGGAAGGAGAAAAGACGCAAAGTAATACGAACACTCGTGCGCAGCGTAAAAGTTTTATTTAGCTTGCGTGCGCTATTTATCTGATTAATAATAACTATGTAGGCTATTACAACGTCGGCAAGCAGTCAACATCAAAGTTGTTTCTTCTGTGGTTGAAGCAAAAACACAATGAATGTGTGAATAAGCGGCCTGTAATTATGTTTGCCCACACGCACATAAGCAAATGAGAAATGTTTGCAAGTAAATTACATTTTCCCTAAAAAGTGGGGAAAATGTTATAAGTATATATAGTCATAGAATTAATATTTAGGTAGCGTTTGAAATTATTTATTAATTATTAGCAAAGAGAGAAATGTAACATATACCCCAGTACTTAAACTAAACATCTCTTACTTAATGTCCCTGAAACTGCAACTGTTTTCTAAACAACTGACGCTTAGATGACACTATCCGCAAAATATTGTCTTTTTTGGGTTCATAAAAGAATTTAACTCTTAGATAACCTCCCTTGTCAATTGATATGCTCTTCTACTACAGGAAATAGAGAGGGACCAATGAGTTTGCCCATAATTTTGATAGATAGCTCTTTTACTATAAATTGGGACTATTGGCAGTATGTATGTATTTTTTCAGTATCCATTTTTTCTTAAAATTATAATAATAAGAAAAAATGGGGTAAAATATTTTACTATGCCTAGCAACATTTTTATTATATTAGCGTTTGTCAAATTTACAATTTATTATTTTGTTTTGATGAACATTTTTTACAAAAATATAAGATGCTAGGCAGTACTTTACTCGTGAAATGAGATTTTTATATATTTTTTCATGATTATGTGATGAGTTGTGACATCCTTTCAAGTAATAACTTGAAATGGCTTCACCTGCTGCGGTTCTAAGTCTGTTCTATGTTTCCATCAGTCGGTTATTGTCATTTATTCCAAACCTTTGCGTCATAATTACGTACCTACCTAATTTACTAATAATTATTGTATTGTACCTAGGTACTAAAAATATTAATTTCATTACTTATTTGTTTTTACAATAAAAATTAATAAATAAAGTAAATATACCTACGTAGCACAAAAAGGGTTGCTAATTCTCTGATACATATATAAAATAAAAGTGAGTTTACAGCTTAAATATTTCAAACTCGCTCTCAGTTAATTTTAGCTCAAACCCGTTCCCTAATTGTGTGACACGTGATCATCGTGCACGTGGAGGCGTTTGATCTGATCAATGCAAATCTCTTCTCGGAGCTGTATACTTAGTCAACGATAGTCACGAGACGTCCGAGGAAGTGCGCCACAACGATCTCCGTAATAGATCCTGGACATGGCAATTGTTAAGGTCAAGTTATTTATAGCAAATCTGTTTGCGTCCCAAGTTAGTTATTGTAGGTAACCTAATTTCGGACTGTATTGTCGGACCCATTTCTGCTACAGCCAAAATATAGCTGCAGCAAATTAGATTTTTAACAAATCTTTTGGTGCCGCGATCTTTATCTGCTTCAAATAGGACCGGTTAATTTTTTTTTCAAGAACCATATAAAAAGTAGTATTGCCACGAATATTCCGTTTTTATTCGCTATTCGGCCTATTCGTCCACTTTGTTTTATATTCGATATTCGGCCGAATAATGCGAACTATTTGGCCTAATACCGAATACCAAATCATGAAGAAAAAAGGCACACATATTAATCAAAACTGAATATATTTTACTAACATAACATTACAATTAATTAATCAACTAACCTGCCGACTTCCAAAAAGGAGACGGTACTCAATTCGACTGTATGTTTTTTTTATGTGTGTTACCTCATAACTTTGAACTGGATGAACCGATTTCGATGATTCTTTTTTTATATGAAAGCTGATAGTTCTCGTGTAGTCCCATATGTTTGATCAAGGTCAGACCAATGGTTATTGAGTTTTTCTTAAATAAGTTATATTGAAGTCGCTTATATTGAAGTCGGCTGTACAAAATTTTTAATTTTAAATTATATAGGATAGGATGACAAACGAGCACACCTGTCCACCTGTTGGTAAGTGGTTGCTGTGACCAGACCAGAGTGACCGACATAGTCTAACGGTTTAGTAAGCTGAAGTGGCTGTGGGCCGACCATATAGCTCCAAGAACCGACAACCGATGCAAGGTTCTCGAGTGGCAGCCTCGTACTGGTAGGCGAAGTGTAGGGTGACCCCCCACTAGATGGAGTGTCGACCTATTAAGACATGCAGTAAGTTGGTGGATGCAGGTGACTCAGGACCGTGCCTTGTGGTATTACTTGGGGGAGATCTGCGTTCAGCAGTAGACTTGTCAAAGACTGCAATGAATGAATAAAAGCGCTAAAGTCTTATGACAGCGTAAGAGAATCTTACACACGATTTTGCCCCTTGGGTGTTGTTTTTTAGCCGCTCTGTATGAGGCATCTATGGCTTCCGTTATATGGTATACCGCCATCTCGTTTACGCCTCACGTAAAATACCCAGACGAACGTGGAGTCAAAGTCAGCAAAGGCAAGTTGAAGATGGGGGCTTAGTATTGAGTTAGAGATGCCACGAATATTGATTTTGCCGAATATCGAATACCGAATATCCGGCCACGCTCTTGAACGAATGTCCGGCGCATCGCCCGGCAACTGATTCTAGGACAGGTTTGTTACAGAAAATATGGAGAAAATTTTTTTTTTTCTAAAAAAAACGTTACCGCCACACTAGGATTTTCTCCTGTATCGTGGAGGCAGTTTACAAACATAAATTGCACAAGGACAAACATCCAGACCCGAAACAATTATTTGTAGGCCATATAAATACTTGTTCCGTGCGGGATTCGAACCCGCAGCCCCAAGCGCTGGAACTCATTGCTAAGCCACTGCGCCACGGAGCCGTCGTGTGTATGTGCACGCAATACCAGCGTGAAATAGCAGCTTAATGCTGATGTGTTTCGTATGTTGAGTGTAGAGAGCCGAAGACCCTTTTTACTGGAAGCGGGGCATTCTATCTTAGTCCTCAGGGGTGACAACGCATCTGCATTTTGATTCTTAATCGAAGATAAATGTAGATGTATATTGTATATGGGCCATAGCATCCACTTACTATCGGCTGTACAGTGTGCTCTTTTGTTACCCTTATTCTATAAAAAAAATATCACGATTAATTAGCACCATACGTTACGGCCTGATGGTCTCGATCTACGCCTAATTTGCGCATTTAAACTCAGAAAAATCACTAAGCTATTTATCATAAGTTTATGATTTTTACGAATATAGTTTATTACTATAAACAGGTTATTCGACGTATTATTACATGTTATATCTATGAAAAAATAATTGCATTTTTGCACTGAGTGAAAAACAATAAGATCACAAATTTTTCAAAAAAATCCGATTAAATTAAATTTGTGCACACCGACTAACCTTTTTCACTCTCATGATGCCGGCCTGTGCTTCTTGAGGAGATGACACTGACTGCTATCCTAAGGCCATTTCGTTATCTTAAATGCTCTCTGCGGGATTACACACACACACGGGGGTCAAACACGTAACCGGAGAAGATATTGGCGCGCGGGACGCGACAACTACAATTTTACGATAATGATGGTACTGATGATTTGATTAAAATCTTTCAATGAACTTGTAATATCAAAAATATTTTAATTTAAAGTACTTTTTTATTGTTTGGTTTAGTTGGACGTTAATGTATACGTAATACGTATACGTCAATACTTGAAAACAAGAGCTAGTGACGACATGTTATGGATTTGGGAAATTGTCCTTATTCACCGCTGACGCCAAAGAGCACTACACCCTCTTCTTTGTTCGAGTCCGAATGGTAAGACAACCGGTGTTTGTTATGAGAACTAACCTCAGAGCTGACGACGAATCTCTAACCTTCTTTGTTTTAAGTTGGTTGCAAGTGCAGGTGTCCATGAACCACTGACTATCGTATCAACTATAAAGGTTAACTGATTGCTAATATTATAAAAAAAGTCAGGTGTTTACAACAGTTAACATTTAATTTAATATTGTTTTCCCAAATATACTTAATACATTATTCTATTAAACTTAAATTATAAACAAATGTTTAAATATAATTTAAATGAAGAGTTGTAAGTGCATTACAATTATATGTAATATATATAACATATACATAACATTAATATACGTAATATTTATATATATATATATATATATATATATATATATATATATATATATATATATATATATATATATATATATTACATTATGCAAACAGACTCCATACTTTTATGAGCTGATTTTTCAATCAGCATAACTTATTCATACAATTAAAAACAATAATAAAAAAAGAAAATTACAATCTAATGAATTGTTCAATTGTTTCACTTTTTTAGTAAAATATCCAAATTCAGCCCTAAATACGCAACAGCAAGACGAAAGCTGAAAGATAATCTAATAATCTTATTAGAAATCGGGGTGTTTTAATAGGAAAACTAAAAATAAAAATAACATTAGTAGTTGATAACCAAGTCGATGAGTGACCGTGTCTGCCCGCGTCACCACTCACAGACTCCGGGAATGTATTTCTCTATAAGTTTTTCGTAGTAGGGCCACAGAGCATCAATATCTGGCACCTTTTCACTTTTGGTATAGAGATCGTATTTACTGCAACAAAGTTAAAACAGTCATTATGATCAGCAATCCCTTTGATTCATCTAGTGGCGATAAATGGATCCATCATCCGTGGCAGAGCCATACTGCAGCTATATTATAGTTGTAGCATGAACGAGCTCGGCTCGACTGGAGAAAGACCACACTCTCACAGAATACCTGCGTTAAATAGTAGCTTAATGACTTAATGTTGCTGTATTTCGTACATTGAGCGCAGAGAACCGGAGATCCTTTTTACTGGAAACGAGGCATACCATCTTAGTCCTCACGGGTGACAACGCATGTTCATTTCGATTCATAATCGAGGATAGATGTAGATGCTTAGAGCCACAGCATCCATTTCCCATCAGGTAGACTGTGTGCTCGTTTGTCATGCTTATTCTATAAAAAAAAAAGAATGAACCAAGGCATGCACAGTGCAATGCCGTATACTCACTTAAACTCCAGCACCCACTGAAGAATCTGTTCATCCTTTTCGTTAGTTAAATGGCGATAGTCCCCCCCGGCGTGCCACGGGTAGAAGGAGTGATACCTGAGCAAACAATGTCGTGTTTAATGCACGCTGCTCGTGAAATTTTTAAGTTTTTAAAAAAAGAGAAGAGAAAAAAAAAGAGAGAACAGAGAAATGTTGACTCCCGACTGTAATGAAATATCTGACTTTTGTTTAATAAACACCTCATCAGCTTGTAAAGGCAGACGCCTCGGCAGCGCTGTTGTTAGACGTTTCATAGTTAGCCCGAACGACCGGGGATGAATCACACTCTCACAGTTTATTATCAGTGTAAATACCAATATAATGTTGTTGCAAATTGTGTGGTGAATGATAACATCTGGATTCCAGTTTTTTTTGGTAAGAATGCATTTTACAGTTCGCGCGCCCATTGAATTATTTTAATTTTACATCACATTATCTCTTAAACTATGCGTCCAAATAACATGGTAAAAAGAACAAAGTTTATCTTCATAAAATTGTCTTGATGATGAAGTAATTTTCGTTCGTAAGGATAAATAGGCCATGCCTAATAATAACGCTCATAAATCACTTTTAAATTTTCAATATTTTTTGTCACAAAATACCTATTTATGGCTTATGTATAAGAAATAGACATATGGTATCGTGGACTTTTTTTTAGACGGAGTAAAGATCTATATTTTTCCAGAACATTGTATTTACGTATCCCTAACGATAACACTAGCGTACGCGGATAAATCATTTCGGGAGTGCTTTTTCTTCTGACTTGCTTAACAAATATCCATATTTAAGGCTAGCTGAGTGATATAGCTTAATTTTAGCCTATACTATTCCACATGAATCTATCTATAATATACAAAAAGAAATTTTCAAATCGGACTGCTAGTTCCGGAGATTAGCGCGTTTAAACAAAAAAAGAAACAAAAAAAACTCTTCCGCTTTTATTATATTAGTATAGATTAGTATAGATTATATTAGTATAGATTAGTATAGATAATAGTTTTAAATAAGCCTAAACTGAATGAAATATTGATCTTTAACTGATACATAAATGTGGTTCATGACATACAGATGGAAGGATCAAAAATTAAGTTTGAATTAGAAATCTTTGATTCCAAAATTCATAAGCCGTACCTTATCATGTAAAGCCCCTTTTCAGGCAGCTTGGACTTGTTGTGAAGCAGGAACTGGTAGAGATACTCGTCGTGGCTCCAGGACATCAGCAAGTTGTCCAGTCCACAATGTGGCTGGTACATTCCGTACTTGGTGCTAAACAAATATTGGCACCATAAACACATGTGTAAAATCTCACAGACATATTTAAATTTATTCAATAGCAATGAGTTGCAGCACTGAGGACCGCGGGTTCAAATTCCGCACGGAACAAGTACTTGCATGGCCTACAAATAACTGTGTGTGTACTGATGCCCCCACGATACAGGAGAAAATCCTAGTGTGTGTGTAGTGTGGTACTGTAACAGGATACAATAGACATAAACTGTTTATTTTTGCTGTGAATGTTTTCACAGCAAAAATGAACAGTTTATGTCTGTCTAAAAACCATTCAGAGAATTTAAGTTTAATTCTAGGAGTGTCACATTACACATGTAAGTACTAATTTAATTAATATAATCAGGCGTTACTTTGCGGAAATCCATTATATAAAAGTTTTTAGAAAAATTTACTTCGCAAATATTTAATTTATTAAATATTTGCGAAGTAAATTTTACGCGTTATAAAAGTTACTTAGCGGTTAGCCACCGTAGAGTCTATATCACCTGAAGATGCCTCGTGTAGAGGCGAAACACGTGTCGTATTATCGTCAGTGGTGTGTCTTGCCTAGTGTAGTGGTGTTGGCAGTAACGGTGCTGGGATTAGTGGTGACGGGGATAGTGCACGCAATTGAGGGAGGGCGGGAGGTGCTCTTCATACTAGGTAAAACACATCATTTTGTTTTAAAACGCGGATATTTGCGAAGTAAATTTTTCTAAAAGCTTTTATAAGTACTAATTGACTTATTTGAAAGGAAGATAAGACATCGTCGTAACTATTACTCATAGATAGGTCCTTCAGGCCGAATTTACATCACGGCGGCTAATCACAGCGGAAACCAGCCATCTGTACAGGACACGATTATAGTGGCCAAGTGTATGCGAAAGCTAAATGTAAAGTAGAAGCACATTCCTTTACATGTAACTACATTTTATACTTATTCACTTATGCGAAATTAATTCCTAACCTAACCATTCTGCAACTATATAGTTGTAGCAAAAAAGGGTCGGCTCGACCGGAGTAGGACCACGCTCTCACAGATTACCAGCGTAAAATAGCAACTTAATGCTGCTGTGTTTCGTATGGTGAGTGTAGAGAACCGGAGACCCTTTTTACTGGAAAGAGAGGCATTCCATCTCAGTCCTGAGGGATCACAACGCATCTGAATTTTGATTCTTAATCGAGGATAAATGTAGATTTCTATCAGCTACAGCATCCATTTACCATCACATAGACTATGTGCACGTTTTTCACCCTTACTCTCTTAAAAATAAATTACCAACAAATCAATTCTTTCTTACTTATATTTTGGGTTGTAAGTATCCGGGTTATCTTTGAAACTCTCCGGACCGTACACGATGGAGTCGGCCCACTTGCAGCCGACGGGGAATGTGTCACCCACCACGCACCACTGCGGCTCGCCGTAGAATGCCATTACCTGTCGTGAGCAAAAATAACATTTTACAATTAGTATTTTCCATCTGCTGTCTTTTACGTGATAGAAAATATTCTTTTGCCAACACTAAACAGTAAACTTACACTCTGAAGTCCTCTGTTGAACATAGGCCTCTCCCACAGGGAAGGATTTTGCCATATCTTGCCACGCTTTGCTGGCAGGCTAACCACCGCAGTTTTTATTATTTTCAGCTGTTATCTTTTTTACTTACTGCTTTTAGCTTACTGCTAATTAAGAATTCCCCTGGTATTGCAGTTGTTCGTGGGTAGCGGTCAACATTTACTATCAGGTAAGTCGTATGCTCGCTTGGCCCCTCTTTTAAAACAAAGGAGGCGGCTACTGCCCACCTCCTGTATCAATTTCCCTCTGCCGCGTCTTACGATACCCGGAGCCAAGTTCAAATCTCAAGGAATCAATTTTTAAGGAAAAAAGAATTCCTTAAAATTGAAACCAAACTTCACTGACTGGTGATGTACGGCAACATTACAAGTGGTGAGGACTTGAGCTCGATACTCACCAACTCGTCCGACCAATGCGATGACCACGGGGATATCTTACATTATTGTGAAACAAGTACAAGTATATATCGAAATCACAAAACTGGAGCTATACCACCCGTCTACCTACTTCTGTGGGCAAATAGCAGTGCTCGCAGTGCTGGGTTCCAGTCAGCAGGGTGTAGAGAGCCAGTTTAGTTACAGACGGTGAGGCAGTCCATCTAGTCCTCAGAGGTGACTACGCATAGATCGCCTTCTTAGTTGGCTGGCACATAGTATCCGTTACTCAGTATTCAACTACCTTACAACTATGCTACGAGTACATATAATATGTGGTCATCAACTTAATTTAATATCAATATCCAGTAGGCGTATCTAAAGGTACATACTCCATTAAATGCTATGTTTCAAATTATTGTTTCTATATCTTTATTATTATGCAAAACCGGATAACATATTACCTTTCAATTGATTTTATTAAAAATCAATTAAGTCTATGTTTAAAATTAATATCTGCGTAAAATAGCAGCGTAATGCCACTGTTTCGTATGGTGAGTGTAGAGAACAGGACACCCTTTTTTACCGGAAACGAAGCATTTCATCTTAGACTTCAGGGGTGACAACGCAACTGCATTTTTAATCGAGGATAAACGTAGATCCCTATGGGTCACACATCCATTTATTATAAGCCGTACTGTGTGCTGGTTTGTCACTCTAATTCTATATATAAAAAAAAAACAATACCTTGCCCAAATCGTGTATCAATCCAGTGAGATGAAACCAGTCCTCATCGGGGTGATCCTGGCGGATGCGTTCGGCGGTCTGGAAGGCGTGTACGATGTTTGGCAGATCCGTGTCGGGATCCGATTCATCCACCAGCTCGTTCAGCTTGATCAACGCATCCTTCACCGTTGACTTGAAGTGGTTGAAGTTCAACCATTTGTCGCGTTTCTCTGTTACCAATAAGGATACACTTTATTCAGTGAAGTCTGTGCTACCACGGCTTATCGTAATAAACATAAGTAATTTTGTAGATTCTTCTTTTCTTTTGAGTCAAATAAGTCAAAAAATATATTCGCAGTTCATTACAGCCCTTCACAAGTCCACTGCTGAACATAGGCCTCCCCCAAGGAATGCACCAAAGCACGGTCCTTAGCCACCTGCATCCATCGACTTTCCGCATATTTTATCAGGTCGTCACTCCATTATTTGTCCCAGGTAAACATACTCATCAACAACTTCGAGCTTAGTGCTCCCAACAACTACCGGCATAGGTGTGACATGGACATTAAACATGATCTTTGTTTTGTCCATGTTCATCTTAAGACCTATCCGTTGGGAAACACTATTGAGGTCATTGAGGTGCATTGTGCTTAGGTCCTCCAGCGATTCTGCCATAAGGACTATATCGTCGGCAAATCCAAGGTGAGTGATGTACTCGCCATTGATGTTAATGCCGTATCCTTTCCAGTCCAGAAGCTTGAAAACGTCTTCCAATGCAGCGGTGAAGAATTTCGGGGATATCACGTCACCCTGTCTTACACCTCTCTGCAATTGGATAGGTTTCGTACTCTGGTTCTGTACTCGAATAGCCATCGTACAAGCACTTCAGCACTTCAATATACCGACAGTCAACTTGGCATCGCTGAAGGGACTGCAGCACCGCCCAAATTTCGACGGAATCAAAGGCTTTCTCATAGTCCACATACGTCAGACATAGTGGCAAAAAGATCTCCTCGGACTTCTGTACAATTTGCCGAAGGGCATGTATGTGGTCTATGGTGCTAAAGTGTTTTCGGAAACCGGCTTTTTCGGGAGGCTGGAAGTCGTCAAGACTGCGTGCGAGACGATTCGTACTCTCGAAAACAGCACGTAGACGCGGCTCAGAAGGGAAATCTGTCTGTAGTTCTTCAAGAGAGCGTTGTCACCTTTCTTGAAGAATAAGACCACCGCACTTCTGCTCCACGCCTCCGGTGTAGTGCCACCATGGAGGACAGAATTAAAGAGCTTCTGAAGGACTTCAAGTATCGGTTTTCCACCCGCTTTCAGAAGCTCCGTTGTAATTCTATCCTCGTCTGGGGCCTTGCCGTTTTTAAGGTGCTGGAGATCCATTCTAATCTCGCTCAAACTGACGTCCGGGATATCATCGGAATAGTGTCGGATAAAACTCGCTCTTGGATCGTTACTCACACTTACGTGTGGCTCCAACGATGATGTGTACAGCTACCCATAGAACCTCTCAATCTCACTCAAAATCTCAGGTGTCCCGGAAACGACGCTGCCACACTCGGTCTTCAACTTCGACAGTTGGCTCTTTCTGGCAGACAGATCTCTAGCAAAGACTTTGGAGCCCTGGTTCCGCTCGATCGCTTCTTCAATACGAGCAGTATTAAAGTTGCGCAAGTCTCGCCGCATGCATTTGGAGATCTGTCTGTTCAGTTGCCTGTATGCTGTCAAATCTACTGAAGACTGCAGCTTCATATCCCGTCTAACAGCCATGAGATTAAGAGTGTGATCGGAGAGTTTTTGTGTTCTTCTGCAGCGGGTCTTGCAAAACTTAGCTCCGACCGCATGGACAGTTTCCACGAGCTTGTCATTCATATCGTCCACTTCATTGCAATCTTCTACGCACTGAAAACGGTTTCGTAGCTCGAGCTGAAAGGTTTCGGGACTTTGGATTAGAGCACGAGGGGGACGGAGCGTTGACTTCATTAGACGTGACCTCTCCAACTTAACGTTTAGATTCAGTGTGCCTCTCACCATTCGGTGATCGCTGCCGGTTTTCACACTCCCGATCAGTGAGACATCACTGAACATTTGTAATCTGGTTGTCATAATGAAGTCAATCTCATTTTTTGTCGAACCGTCGGGGCTCGACCAGGTCCACTTCCTGTGAGGCCGCTTCTGTGAGAAAGAGTTCATCATAAAGAGTCCCTCTTTCTCCATGAAGTCGGCCAGCTGCTGGCCCCTTGGCTTCCGTTGCCCTATTCCGAAATTCCCTACTTTCAGCTCACCGTTCTCTCTTGTGCCTAGTTTTGCGTTGAAGTCTCCCATTAACACCGTATAGTGGGTTTTGGAGAAATGCATGGCTCTAGAGATACCCTCATACATTTCCTCCACCTCCTTATCGGGCTGTGCCGAGGTTGGTGCGTAAACCTGTATGACCTTCAGCGAATACAATTTGGTGATTCTGAGTATAAGGTACGCAACCCTCGTCAACACACTCCCAATCTTTACAACGTTGTTAACGAGAGACTTGTGGACGATAAATCCGACACCTCCTTGGGACAGATGGTCGCCCTCCCGGTGATAGAACAAATTGCCGGATTCGAGGATTACCGTGTCCTCCCCCTCTCTTCGGACTTCGAATAATCCTATGACATTCCAGTGCAACTTGTCTATCTCTTCTTCCAGCTCCAGGATCTTCTCGTCAGTCCTCAGGGTGCGTGCGTTATAAGTTGCCAGGTGCTGTCGTCGTAGGTGGCAACCAAACCTCCACCGAAGATTCTTAGCACCCCCTGCCCCGCCGTTACCATGGTCGCCATCGTAGCCAGGAATAGCGGGGCCGCCGGGGACTGAGGGCCGTCTCTTCGTTACTTTCATGGGGGGTATATTGCCACAGTTGCCACGCTTGGCGAGCGGGTTGGCAACCGCAGTTTTTTTATTGTTGTTTTGCTGTTATCAGAAAGATGCTGCTGCCCATCCTCTGCCTCAGTTTCCCTCTGTCGCCTTTTACGACACCCATGGGAAGATATGGGGTAGTGAGTATTCTTACCCTCCAATAAACGGGGTATATATTTTGCAGTTCCATTATATAAATCCTATTTTGCCGAAATACGTTTTTTAATCAGAACATGCACAAAATTAAAGCAAGTGATGTTTTTTTTTATAGGAGAGAGGCAAACAAGCACGCGACTCACCTGATGGTAAGTGACTACTGCCACCCATGAACAACTGCAACACCAGGGGAATTGTAGGTGCGTTGCCGGCCTTTTAGAAAGGAGTAAGCCCGTTTCTTAAAGGTCCCTAAATCGTATCGGTCCGCAAATTCGCCGGTGGTAGGCTATTTCACAGAGAGGTTATATGCGGAAGAAAACTCCTAGTGAAACGTATAGTGGTGGACCCCCAAGCATCCAGATGGTGTGGATGATATCGGGAAGATCGCCGCGATGTGCGTTGGTGAAATTTGGCGGCTTGGATTAATCCGAACAATTTCTCAGAGCACTCCCCGTGGTAGACGTGAAAGAAAATGCAAAGGGATGCAACATCGAACTGATCGGAGAGGACTCAGTCGTTGACGATTCGACCCGCTCTGCGCTGGATGCGGTCAAGTGGAAGCAGCTGGCACTAGGGAGCCCCAGCCCAGAGATAGGAACAGTATTCCATGTGAGGCCGAACCTGCGCCTTGTAAAGTTGCAGGCGGTGTGTCGGCATGAAATATGTCTGTCTCGCTCTGCTGAGCACGCCAAGCTTTTTAGAGGCCAATTTGGCCCTTTTTTCCAAGTGACCACGAAACTGCACGTCACTCGATATGTCGACGCCGGGGATTCCGATACTGGCTGAGGCAACAAGGGGAGTGCCTTGAAACTGAGGAGATACGACAAAGGGATTCTTTTTAGCGGTAAACGCGCAAACTTGTTTGTGAGGATTAAAGTGGACTAGATTTAGTCGCCCCCAATCCGACACTTTGTTCAGTTTACTTTTGGCAAGACTCGACTTCAGACACAAGTTTTGCCCGGTATTCAGCGACGTCGGCGATTCCGTCAGGCCCAGTCAACTTATGTATGTACATGGAGAGGAATGCTTTGCGTACTGAGCACTGTGTGAATCGCACATCAGGCATACATATATATAATCTACGAGTGCGTTGTTATTATTGTGTAAGGCCTTTCTGTGTTTATTCGATTGAATTTTGTTCAAAATGTTTTAGTAGAAATAATTTTGGCTTTATGTACTAATTTTTTTCTCATTTCTTTTTTTTAAAAAAAAACGTTACCCCCACACTAGGATTTTCTCCTGTATCGTGGAGGCAGTTTACAAACACTAATTGCACAAGGACAAACATCCAGACCCGGAACAATTATTTGTAGGCCATACAAATACTTGTTCCGTGCGGGATTCGAACCCGCGTCCCCCAGCGCAGCATCTCATTGCTAAGCCACTGCGCCACGGAGCCGTCAAATTCAACGTTCACTTACTCTTAAATATACGTTTGAATATATGTACTATATATTCAAACGTATATTTTTGTTAAATAAAAAAAAATTTAAAACATTGTGAAGTCCGCCAACATGCATTGGGGCAGCGCGGCAGACATTTTCTTTGTCCTAAAAGTCTCTCAAAATTGAGAGGAGACCTGTGGCCAGCATTGCGACGTATATTGGCTGTAAATTTACTTTTAACGTTATAATTTCAATGACTCACATGTACATGATCATGATTATATAATTTCGTGTCGGTTTGAATTGTATATTATTTACTTTTAATAAAGGTGCCGACTTTCTTGATTGTTTTTTTAGAGTACCATATGGTACATTAGTATCCATTAGTATGCCGACGTTGTCTCCTGAGAGCCAGAGTGGACTTATTTGGTGAAACCAAAAAATAAAAACAATTATATTTTACTTGTTTCCTTCTGCGCTAAATTTTATCTTGCTATTTATTGCTAACTTTACTGCCTTAAGTCAATAACTGATGCAATGTTATAAAAAATTACTAAAGCAAACTAAATGTCCTTACGTTTAACCAGTTCCACTGTAACGTTGGTGTGCATTGTGTAGTAAGTCCTGCGCACGCGCTCCTTGATGGGGTCAGCATCGTCCACGGAGTAGTCTCGAAACGCGTCGATTGGCTTGTCGTTGAACGTCGCCTCTGGACGGAGGAGTTGCGACGGGTCGATCATCGACACCGGACTTTTTTGCTATACCACAAAAATAATTAACTTTAACCAAGTATTTAAATATAAAAAGTAAATTATAGCACAATTACCTATATATATCCGTGGTTTGATATGCATTCCTGTTTTTTTAATTACCCTTCGTTTTACTTAGTCTTCAGCATGCTTTCCATTTTTCCTACTTACTCTATTTGCTTGCATATCCGTAATGACGACATTCGGTCATAGATTTTTCTTTATATTAGAGGAGGCAAACGAGCATGCGGCTCACCTGATCGTAAGTGATCCATGACCAAGTGCAGTTTTTGGAAGTCTGGCCATTTCGGATATTTATATATAAAAGCATTTATGGCAAACGCAGTCTTTCGGTTCTCGAAAGACGTGACCAAACATCGTATTATGCGACTCTCTATTACTTTTGCAGTATCACACGCAACCCTAGACTTCCGTGAGTGTGCTCAATATAATTTTTCCCTGTAACTCGCACATCTAATGCAGCATCTTTATTTCGGTAATATTAAATCTTGTATATGCCTCAGGTACTTTGGCCATGTCTCGAATGATTAAAAAAATAATTAATCAGTGTTTTAAAGTCACAGGTGACTGGTGTCCCTTCTCGCCAGTTACAGCAAGAGTCGCAGAAAGCTGTCTGTTTCAATTAAGATTATAATTGAATCTAAAAATTACTGATTTTTATTAAAAAAAATTTAACAGATAACAGTCTAAGTCAAAAATAAAAATAAACATGTTGGATATAATATTAATAAATAATAAGACTAAAATGGGACAATATTAATCAAACACTTCCAGTAAAGTAGTAAAGTCGCTGTACAGGACTCCGTTATCCTTACCGTTACAGCATATTAAAGTCCACTGCTGATCATAGGCCTCCCCCATAGATTAACTCGTATATTTGTGAGAGTTGTCATGCTTGGCAGGCGGGTCGGCAACCGCGGTTTTTTATTTTCATGTTGTCATCAGGAAGACGCTGCTGCCCATCTCCTGATTTGTTTCCCTCTGTCGCTTCTTACAACACCCACTGGATGATATAGTGTAACCCAAAAGTATTATAAATTGTTTACACCTGAAGAATCGAAATAGATATAAACGATGCTTTACCAAAAGTGTATTCTCCTCAATTTTAAAATTAAAAACATTAAAATTAAAATAATAATTAAAAAATTCTCTTTCAAACACGACTTTATTCGTAACTTTTCCATTTTAAATAAGTATTCGTGAATATAATACAATTTTTTTAATCGGTTTTCAATCAATTCCAGACGTCTGTTTCATTTTCATTCACTTTAAAAGGCTGGCAACGTACACGCAATTCCCTTGCGTTCATGGGCGGCTGTAGCCACTTACATTATGGTGAGTACCTACCTAATGGAGAGTTCCATGCTAGTTTGCCCTCTCTTATAATAACTTAAAGTTGAATAATTTTTTAGAGTAGGTAACTTAAATTTTGTTTGTCAGTACTCACCACTTCGGTGGCCATTCTTTAAGATTATCTTCTGAACCCGGAGCAAGCACTGTGCGCTGACAACGTGATTCTACGTCATCCCAGTCTTTATATACAATCGTCACTCATCTCGAGTGCGAACTACGTCCTGATAAAGATAGCTTTAATTTATCCATCAGATTCATTGAGATTATGTACTACGTACTAAGTACAGTATACTTCAATGATCAGATAAGCGTAATTCTTTAAGGCTCCATCTATTTATCGCAGAGTGCTCTATGGATTTTTTTATAGAATTAGGGTGACAGACGAGCACACAGTCCACCTGATGGTAAGTGGATGCTGTGACCCATAGACATCTACATTTATCCTCGATTAAGAATAAAAATGCAGATGCGTTGCCACCCCTGAGAACTAAGATGGAACGCCTCGTTTCCAAAAAGGGTCTCCGGTTCTCTACACTCACCATAGAAAACACAGGAGCACTGGCCTGCTACATATATTTTACGCTGGTATTTTGTGAGAGCGTGATCCTACCCCGGTCGTGCCGACTCATTTATGCTTTAACCATAATATAGCTGCAGCGTGACTCTACCATGTATAAAATGATAGGGTGCTGATGGTTTTTTTTTTAAATGATCTATTTTTCTACCTTATCTCTTAATGTTTACCCGGTGAGAAATTCTCAGGGTTGTTAATCGTGGAATTCCTAGTTCAGCAGCTAAAAAAATAAAAATCTGCAGTTGCTAACCTGCCTGCCAAGCGTGGCAACTATGGCAAATATCCCTCCTATGAGGCAATGTAGGCGCAGCTTAGCAGTGGACTTTGATAGGTTGTGACGTAATGTTATTAAATATATTTTTATGAAGGGAGTCGATGGATGCAGGAGTCTCTGGACCGTGCTTAGTGGCAATCTATGAGGGACTTTTATATTTAGCGGAGGACTGTTATGGGGCTGCAATGATTACATGGAGGAGGCCTTTGTTGAGCAGTGAACTTGAAAAGGGCTGTAATGATAACGGTGATGATTTCTTCAGCTGTTGGATGTATAATATTACTACAACTTATTGTTTTTATTACGTAAGATTGCAAAAAACTAGTTTTATTTTTTTTAATAAAACTGCAGTGACGAACGATTTTACAGTCCATCTGGACCACCTGGTAAGTTTTTGCTGCAGTCCACTTGCGACCAACTTCAAACAAACAGGGCTACAGTTGTGTTTTCACCTTTGAAGACTAAGATGGAATTTCTCGCAACCTAGATACTGGTATAATGTTGAATAGTATACCTACTGACTTTTTGACTATTTAATGTGTTTCGTATGGTTAGTGTAATCAAAATCAGAGACACATTTAACTAGAAATGAGGCATTTCATCTCAGTCCTCAGGGGTGACAACGCATCCGCATTTTAATTCTTAATCGAGGATAGACATAGATGTTTATGGGCCACAGTATCCACTCGTACTGTGTTTTTTTCATAGGAGAGGGCGCCCCTCTCCTATGAAAAAAACCCACTGTACGAGTGCAAACGAGCATGCGGCTGACCTGATGATAAGTGACAACCGCCGCCCATGAACAACCGCAACACCAGGGGAATTGCAGATGCGTTGCCGGCCTTTTAAAAAGGAGTTTTCTTGGAGGTCCCTAAGTCGTATCGGTCCGGAAAAATCGCTGGTGGTAAACTATTCCACAAGGAAGTTGTGCGAGGAAGAAAACATCTTCTAAATCGGACAGTGGTGGACCGCCAATCATCCAGGTGGTATGGATGGTATCTCAAGTTTTGTCGCGATGTACGATGGTGAAATTGAGCGGCTGGAATTAGTCCGAACAATTCCTCAGAGCACTCCCCGTGGTAAATGCGATAAAATACGCAAAGAGATGCAACATCTCTATGCAGTGCCAGTGTATCGAGGCGATCAGAAAGAACTCGGTCATCGACGATTTGAACCGCTCTGCGCTGGATGCGGTCAAGTGGAAGGAGCTGGCGCTGGGGTGCCCCGGCCCAAACATGAGAACAGTATTCCATGTGAGGCTGAATTTGCGCTTTGTAAAGTTGCAAGCGATATGCTGGCATGAAATACTGTCTCGCTCTGCTGAGCACGCCAAGCTTTTTAGAGGCCAGTTTGGCCTTCCCTTCCAAGTGACCACGAAACTGCACACTATTCGATATGTCGACGCCGAGGATTCCGATGCTAGCTGAGGCAGCAAGGGGAGTGCCTTGAAACTGAGGAGATACGACAAAGGGGTTCTTTTTAGCGGTAAACGCGCAAACTTGTGTCTTCTGGGGATTAAACTGGACTAGATTTAGTCGCCCCCAATCCGAGACTTTGTCACGGCCGGTATACCTTATATACCGGCCGTGACAAAGTCTCGGATCGAATCACCAGTTCTGTCGTCCGCATAGCAATGAATGTTACTAGTTTGCAACATATCATTGATATGCAGGAGAAACAGCGTTGGTGATAGCACGCAGCCTTGTGGAACACCAGCGTTGATAGGCTTGAAATCAGAGCATGCACCGTCTACTACAACCTTAATGCTCCGATCAGCAAGGAAACTGATGATCCATTTGCACAATTTCTCGGGAAGCCCATAGAAAGAAAGCTTCGAAAGAAGCGCTTTGTGCCAGACCCGATCAAAGGCCTTCGCTATGTCCAAACTAACGGCCAATGCCTCTCCTTCGGACTCTACTGCCTCCGCCCATGAGTCAGGTAGACCAGAAGATTACCACCAAAACGAAAACCGTACTGGCGGTCACTAATCAGCTGGTGATCCTCAAGATACCTCATGAGCTGGCAGTTTATAACGGATTCCATTATTTTGGAGAACAAGGAGGTTATGGCGATATGCCTGTAGTTGGACGGGTCTGAGCGGTCGCCTTTTTTAGGGATCGGGTGGACCAAAGCTGTCTTCCATGAATTCGGGACTACGCCTTGGGAGTAGGAGTACCGGGAAAGACGCGTTAAAACCGGTGCCTACTCCGGAGCACAGGTCTTCAGCTCAATGGGAGGGACTCCATCAGGCCCACTCGACTTGCTGACGTCCATGAAGAAGAGTGCTTTAGGAAACGAGCGCTGTGTAAATCGCACTTCCGGCATGGAACACTCACACCGCGGGATGGTCGGCAGTGTATTCCCCCCGTCATCTAGAGTCGAGTTGGACGCAAAGAGAGAGCTTAAAAGATCGGCTTTCTCTTTTGTAGCATGGGCCAGTGAGTCGTCGTCTCTGTACAGAGATGGAAGAGATGGCTGACAGAAGTTCCCTTGGACAGCCTTGGCGAGAGACCAGAATGCACGGGTTCCAGAAGGAAGGCAAACTAGCTTCTCGCCAATTCTGCCGATGTGCTCAGCCCTTGCCTTGGCAATGACGCTTTTGAAGGACCTGGAGGCAGAATTATACTTCTTTTTAAGTGCGCTGGTGTTTACATCCCGAGACGTTGATGCATCAGCTCAGGCCCGGTAGCACTCCTGCTTATAGCGTGATGTTATTTTACAGGAGCGACCAAACCATGGCTAGGATCTGCCTCTGATGGGCACCACAGAGGATGAAATAAAAAGTTCCATACCCTGAAGTACCACATCAGTAACAGAATCGGCAACAACGCTGGGATCTTCCGGCGAGAAGACAAACCCGCGCCCAAGGGTAGGATGCAAAAAACGACCGTATCCCGTCCCAATCGTAAATGTCAAACACGGCGGCAAGCTGCAGATCGCAACTACGGTGGGAGCGTGAGTGGCACCGTACTCCGGATTAGACAATGGTCCGAAGAGCCCAGAAGGGCATCGACGGAGACCTGATATCCATCCGGATGAGAGGTCAGCAGAAGGTATAACAGGGAAGGTGTATGATCCTCCACATCTGGGATCCACGTAGGCGAAGTAACCAATTGTGTTAGACCATATGCCAAGGCAAAGTCACACACAGATCTACCCGCACGATCGGTTAAACGAGAACCAAGCCATTCAGCGTGGTGGGCGTTAAAATCACCGAGTATCACCATCTCTGCGGATGGAACCTTTTGTAGCACGGAGTCTGCAGACATTTGGACGTGGTCGATGAATCGGTCTGTGTTGGCATTACCGCTATGGAACCTATAGAGGCACCCGTAGACGCGGGGATGGTCGTCGCTGTCTACGCGCAGCCATAGGATGGACAGGTCCGTACCTTCAAGACTGCCGAGGCGTAGAAAACAGATGTCCTCTCTGACGTATACGCAAACCCCAGCCCGAGGCACAAAGGAGTCTTCTAATTTGTACTCCGGGTAGGAGAGAAATGAAGTATCAGCCGGAGAGGACGCCTGAGTCTCGGTTAAAAAGAGCAAGGCCGGCTTCGCCGTCTCTAGATGGTAGTTTGGTCGTGGATGCTCAGCGAGGGATTCTTTAATTCCGCTACCATGTTGATGGGGTGGGGGGGAGGGGGGACTCCAGCCACCTGCATTCACCAAGCGCAACGCAGAGGTAAACCTTTACTTCACGCTGGTATTCTGTGAGGTCGTGGTATCACCCCGATTCAAGCCGGCCCATCCGTGCCACAGCGAAAGCTGCCGCGTGGCTGTACCACTGTTAAATGCGCTGTGTGCTCATTCGTTGCGCTTTTTCTACGATAAAAGTGTTTTACGACAATGGCCAACTGCTCATTGTCGGTCTCGGTATTTTGTACCGTTCAGCAGTGGACTTTTGACAGTAATCAAAAGTAAGGTAAAACAAAGATACCGGAGGGAAACATCTATTTTTTAACCTTTTTTTTATTGTATAAATTAAGGGTGACAAACGAGCACAGAGTTCACCTGATGGCGAGTGGATGCTGTGGCCCATAGACATCTACATTTATCCTTAATTAAGAATCAAAATGCAGATGCGTTGTCACCCTTGAAGGCTAAGATGAAATGTCTCGTTTTCTCTAAAAAAGGGTCTCCGGTTCTCTACAATCACCATACGAAACACAGCAGCATAATGTTGCTATTTCACGCTGGTATTTTGAGAGGGCGTGATTCATCCCCGGTCGAACTGATCCATTCGTGCTACTACCATAATATTATAACTGCAGCACGGCTATAGGTTGGTACCACGTGAAGAGCGTGATTTTATTTATTTGTATTTCTGGTCGTATTAGCGTCCTATTATTTAAGACAAGGATACTCATAATCCAGCGAGCTATAGATCATCCACGTCACTCAGTGAATCCCTCCACAATAGGTGATAAAGATTATACTTACTGCAATAAAACGATTAGCGTTTGTTTGTTTACATTGTATTTATATTATGTTTATTACTAGTCGGTAGTCCAGTGGTTATCTTTGGCTGCGGCGCTGAGGGTATAGGGTTCGAATCCTATACCAATAGGTCGGCTATTGCTACTTCAGCTTACAGATCGTCGCTGTTGTTCTTCTGCGAATATCCTTGTATTAGATTTTACATTAAAGATCTTAAAAATTAATTTGCTTATATCCGCGTAATAAAATAACATGATGTGTCCTACCAATGACTAGGTAGTCTGAAGAGAGGGCACCTCCCTCCCTCAATTGTGTGCACTATCCCCGTCACCACTAATCCCAGCACCACTACTCCTAACAGCACCTTAGCGCTAAGACTTAGCGTTCAGTCACCGCAGAGTCTAATTTACCTGAGGATGCCTCGTTTAGAGGGGAAACACGTGCCGTATTATAAGCGGTGATGTGTCTTTCCTAGTGTACTGGTGTTGGAGGCAGTGGTGACGGGGATAGTGCACGCATCTGAGGGAGGGCGGGACGTGCTCTTCGGAATAGGTAAGAAACATCATATTTTATTACGCGGATATAAGCAAGTTAATTTTTAAGATCTTTATTATGATGGATTTCCACAAAGTAACGCCTGATTCTATTAATTTTATTTTTTAAATTACTTATAGTATATGTGAACAATTACAAATTATCAGAAACGTCTCTAACAATTTCAGTTACATTTTGTAGTTAATAATGTTAGACTTTGCAAGTTTATATATTTCATAGTTCTGTATTGTTACCGATGCATTTCGAAAAGTGTGCGCCGAAATTTCACGACTTAATACCTCCGTTTCCCTTCCACTATCGGACAACCAGACGGTCGGCCAGTCTCCACTCTTTCATTGTTGACATACCACGCATTCGAACCAAACGATTTACTGTATCATTCGTCATGCGTACCAGAAAAGAGTGGAATAAGTTGCCAGCATCCGTCTTTCCATCCGATTACAATATGGGTGTCTTCAAGGCTGGAATAAATAGGGTTCTTTCAACCTAAATACTGTGCGCTTCACCGTCTTCGACTGCATCATCATTTACCATCAGTTGGGATAGCTGTCAACGCGAGCTTAGAATAGTAAAAAATATATTTATAAAAATATGAATATATTATGTGACATCCTTGACAAAATAATTCTTTTTGCCGAGCAATACTTATATTTTCCGTACGCTTTATTAGTATCTAGGGGGAATCAAACCTATATCATTCTAAAAGTTATCGTTACAGTGTATCAAAAGTCCACTACTGAACATAGACCTCCCACATACATTGTAGTAATATTCGTAATCTAAATGTGTGATTTTCGCATTGAGGCACACACATGATTTTTCGATACATGGTCGAATTTCCACCTGACGCGATACTAATATGGATTCAAACAAAGCAAACAAAATCATCGAGTGTATAAAAGAAAGGAAATAGATACAGTTAACGTATCTCAATAGAAAATACTTAGCAGGAGATAAAACCTCAAAGCGACCGCGCCGCGGGGTATTATAGGATTGTCGTTTAATATCCGCTATCTTTGATCTAACATTGACATCCATGCTGCCGTTACTCTGTTATTTGTAAATTGTACCGCAATGATATAATGGTTAAGCTGATAATGTTATGCAGTGATATGAACTGACCCTAAGATTGTTTTGTTTAATATCATACAAATTTACAATAATACAAAGATAAAACGCAAAGCAATTCGAATTTTCCCGTACCCACATTAAACGTCACGTGGATTGAAAATAAAATGTAGCACGACTGCGCTTTTTGTAGCAATAAACACATCTCCTCATTATTAAGCGAACTAAAGGAAAAAACTAATATTATAAAGATACACCTTTGGTGTAATTGTCCGTGAAAATAACACTCTCTTTTCTCTTTAAAAAATCTTATTTTCGGTTGTAGGTAGTTTTTAAGGGTTCGCCTTTAAAGTATAGTTAAGTAGCTTGCTTATAAATATTCTAAGGGTTCGCCATTATCTGGGAAATTTAATAGGGGTACGTTAAGCTATAAGTTTGGGAAAGCCTGATATAGCCCATATATATATATATCTTTATACCCCTTCACGTTCGGGCTTCATATCTTCATTGTCTGCTGTCCAAGCCGCGCCTATGGAATGATCTGCCTGAAAAATTAAGACAAAGCTGCCTGCAAACAAACCTTTAAGACGAATGTTCGCGCTCATTTCCTAAAATTGCGTCGTAACCTCTAAGCTCCGTCGTCATTATATAGTTATTTCTGTTTTAAGTCTTTGCTGAGCACGCCAAGCTTTTTAAAAGTCAATGTGGCCTTCTCTTCCAAGTGACCACTAAACTGCACGTCACTCGATATGTCGACACCGAGGATTCCGATACTGGCTGAGGCAACAAGGGGAGTACCTTGAAACTGAGGAGATACGACAAAGGGGTTCTTTTTAGCGGTAAACGCGCTGTGGTCTGTGGAAGGAAAAGGGGAGATCTTCCGCTGGACAAGGTATGCTGCCCGGGGAGCGGCCAACGCTCCAAGTTGTAGTTCGGAGCTATTCTATATATACTGCTTTAACTTCGGAATTTTGTTAGCGCGATTTAGGCTTCGATGTGTTTCGCTTGTGGCGCGGCGACAGCGCCGTCACATCACCCACCTGCTCAGACCGGAGGTCGATAGTGCAGTCCGATTGCCGGTGCGTCCTTAATGCCGGTGGGGAATGCATGCTGTGTGCGTAAGGGCAAGTGACGCCGGTGCGAACGATATGCCGGTGTGTAATGCATGCCATACTACGCACTTGCAAGTGATGGCGGTGAGAACGATGAGCCGGAGCAAGTGCCAGAGATTGCCTTGTAGTCTGTGGTGAGTCGAGAAGAAGACAAGTAATCTGCGAGAGTGCCGTAGAAAAGAGGCGAGCAGTAAGGCTCAGAGCGGTGCCGAACACTGTAGCGCAGAGAGTAGCTTGAAGGAACAGAAAGTATTATTATTCCAGTGCTGCGATGAACCTTTATAAAGCTAGATGGATTTGCAAAATGTGAAGACTGTAGACAATATCTGCTTGGGAGTAGTGTTGAGTAGGACATACAAGAGGCGTTACATTTGTCCCGGACATGACGTCAAAATGTAAGAGCGGCTCGGCATTTTTTAATGTACTACTTCAAATTTTATGTCGCGGCAGTCGCGAAGTCGCCTTACTCACTCTCCGTCTGCGTAAAACTATGAGGAAAGAGAGGGAGCGAAATGCATGCTACAAATTAGAATAGTACGTCATTCTAAAATGAACATTACGTGACAGCGTTTCGAATCTCGAGCGAGAGGGAAATATGTTGCTGACATTGATATTAATAAATACTGTGAGGCGCACATTGCAACGAACTCTTTCCATTTATATGTGTTTTGAATATCGTAACGTACTTGAGTCAGTGACCAGTGCAAAAGTTTTTAATTTGATACTTCGTTTGTGTAGTTTAAGTGAATAGATATTTTTATTTAGGTATATATTCAGGTATGTAAGTCTTTGTATTAATTCATGATTTATGAATGACTTTCAATTCTTATTTATTTTGCTTGTATGGCTACTTTGTGTTAGTGTTTTAATTTTGTTATGGTTTTAATATGTTTATTCGTCTGAGTTGATACTTTTGTTTATGACTACATTTGAATAAAAGATACCTATAAACTTTGTATAGTTATAGGTGTTAGTAAAGTATTTAAGTAAAAGACATTTTAGCGAATGTCGATTGTCCGTTGGCCAAGACACCTCAGCGGTGCGAGCGGCAGCGGCAGGGTTTATGTCAACAAACAAAGTTTATGTCTTGTACATACAACTTTATAATTTGTGTAGGTATGTCAAATCAAAATAGATACCCTATTTAAGGGTTACCAGGCTACATAAATAAAATATCCCCTGCTAATAACGGTTTTCAGATGTTTACTTTATTTGACATTTTTTCTGTTTGCTTTTTGCATGCGCAGTATGTCTGGTGATGGTGATAGAAAATCCTCAAAAGCTTGGCAGTTTTTTAAAGACCTCAAAAATGATAAAGCCAAATGCAATTTTTGTCAGAAAGAATTTTCATACAAAGGCGGTGGTGCTTACAACCTAATCAGACACACAAAAAGCAAGCATCCACAAGTGTTTGTCGCTATACGTGAATGTCCGATTGAAAATATAGCTTCTTCTGCAACAGAAATCCATAATTTGACAACACATTCCACTGATTCGAAGGCACCAGAACTTGAGATGCCTACTGCTTCCACATCTACTGCTTCAACTTATGTCATGCCTGAAACATCTGATTTCTTACCAGCCACCACTAAAAACACCAACCTATATAAAAAAGCTCCAGCCACTAACACGAAACTAACACAGTACTTTTATAAACCGCTTTCTGCTAAAAAAACTGAACATCTAAACAAAATGCTGGTAAAATTATTCACAAAAAATTACTTAGCCTTTCATCTCATTGAATCCCCTGAACTCAAAGATTTTATTAAAGAATTAAATCCAGCCTACCAGTTACCTAGTCGTAAGACGTTATCTAATGCATTGATGACTAATGTCTATAATCAAACAAAAGAAAAGGTTAAGTCAGAACTCTGTCAAGCAGAACATGTGTGCATTACAACCGATGGGTGGACATCAGCCCCCAATGATAATTACTTAGCCGTGACAATACATTTTTTCAATCAGCAAGCAGAATTAAAATCTTTTTTGTTGGAATGTATACAGTTTCCAGATAGACATACTTCAGAAAACCTAGCACTAGAACTAAAAAGAATTACAGATAATTGGGAAATTACTGACAAAATTGTAGCAGCAATCAGTGATAACGCTTATAATATCAAAGCTGCTATAAGACTTAATAATTGGAAGCACATACCTTGTTTCGCTCATACTCTTAACCTTATAGTCCAATCTGCATTAAAAGAAATAAAAGATATTACTACAAAAATTAAACAAATTGTCGAATTATTTCGTAGAAGTCCACTTGCATCTGAAAGATTAAAAAATATGCAAAAGAAGCTAGATGAACCCCTATTGAAGATAAAACAAGACGTTTCCACACGCTGGAACTCCACGTATGATATGTTCGAAAGGGTGTTAAAAATTAAAAACAGTGTTATGTCCACAATTGCTATCGATTATCCCGATACTATAAATATGACTTCTGAAGACATTGAGGTTTTGGATTCGGCAATAGAAATTCTTTCATTTTTCAAAGATGTAACTGAGGAGATGAGTTCAGAAAAGAATGTTACAATATCAGAGGTGAAGTAATAGATAACGCATTTATTTTGTATTTTCAATTTTAACATTCTTTTTTCATGTATGAGGTGTTTTATAAATTTCAGGTTATACTTATATCAAACGCCCTCAAAAAGAAATGCCAAAAATTTTTATCTACGCCACATCCGGACTGTGTTTTACGAATGACCCAAGTGCTTTTAAATGAAATTAGCACAAGGTTTTCGTGCATTGAGGAGAATAATATTTTTGCTGAAAGCACTATATTAGATCCAAGATTCAAAAAATATGGGTTTGAGAATGAGTACGCTTACAGTAAAGCATGTACAAATATCAAAGCCATGGCCGGGCGAATTCAAATACAAAGCACATGTACATCAGAGCCGCCATCTTCGTCGCCATCCCGTAAGCGTAAACATAGCATATGGAATGAGTTTGATGAGCAAGTGGATATGATAATAAAAAATATTAATCCGACTGCAGGGGGTATTATCGAAGTTGATAAATACCTCGAGGAACCCCTACTGCCAAGGTCCCAAGATCCTGCCAAGTGGTGGTTCGTTAAAAAGGACGCCTATCCTAGGCTTTATAAGTTATTTTTAAAACGGCTTTGTATTGTTGCCACTTCAGTGCCTTCCGAGCGCACTTTCAGTAAAGCAGGCCAGGTCCTTACGGAGAGAAGGAACCGGCTTAGTGGCAACAAAGTCGCGCAAATATTATTTTTACATTCTAATTTATAATTTTATTTGCAAGCTTTTTTATTATATTCTTTAAAATATATTTCTTTATCTTTTTATTTACCTAATTACAAACAATATAATCGTGTATGTATCGTTTCATAGTCAATGTCTTCAATCAGAGTACAGATTGTAACTGTACGGCAATAACTTCAAATGTCATTTTTGCGACGTTTTCCCGAAAAATATAGGCACGGCCGGTATAAAGGCATCACCAGTGCTGTCATCCGCATAGCAATGAATGTTACCGGTTTGCAACATATCATTGATATGCAGAAGAAACAGCGTTGGTGATAGCACGCAGCCTTGTGAAATACCAACGTTAATAGGCTTGTAATCAGAGCATGCACCGTCTACTACAATCTTGATGCTCCGATTAGCCAGAAAACTGGTGATCCAATTGCACAATTTCCCGGGAAGCCCATAGGAAGGATGCTTAGAAATAAGTGCTTTGTGCCAGACCCGATCGAAGGCCTTCGTGATGGCCCTTGGACTTGATCGCCTGCGCCCATCTGTGTATTAGGTAAACAATAAGATCAACAGCTGAGCGACCTCGACGGAAACCGTACTGGCGGTTAGTAATCAGCTGGTGCTCCTCAAGGTACAACATAAGCTGCAGTTAATAATGGACTCCATTACTTTCGAGAACACTGAGGTGATGGCGATAGGCCTGTACTTGAACGGATCAGAGCGGTTACCTTTTTAGGGATCGGGTGCACGAAAGCTGTCTTCCATGAATTAGGTACAACGCCTAGGGAGTAGGAGTACCGGAAAAGACGCGTTAGAACCGGTGCCAACTCTGAACAATTGCACAATTGGCGGGATTCCGTCAGGCCCACTCGACTTGTGTATGTCCAGGGAGAGGAGTGCTTTGCGTACAGAGCTCTGTGTGAATCGCACATCAGGTATCGAACACTCACACTGCGGGTTGGTCGGTGATGTATTCCTCCGTCATCGAGAGTCGAGTTGGACGCAAAAAGGGAGCCTAAATGGTTGGTCCTCCCTGTGCAAAGATGGTAGTGATGGCTTACAGAAACTCCCTTGGACAGCCTTGGCGAGAGACCAGAATGCACGGATTTCCGAAGGAAAGCGAACTAATTTCTCGCCAATTCTGCCAATGTGGCACACTTTGCCTTGGCAATAACTCTTTTGAAGGACCTGGAGGCGAAGTTATACTTCTTTTTAAGCATGCTGGTGTTTATGTCCCGAGCCGCCGAAGCGTCTGCCCAGGCCTGATAACACTCCTGCTTACTGCGTAATACAGTCTTACAGGAGCGACCAAACCAAGGCTGAGATCTGCCTCCGATGGGTACCACAGATGATGGAATAAATAGATCCATTCCCTATAGCACCACATCAGTGACAGAGTCAGCAACAGTGCTGGAATCATCCAAAAAGAAGCAAACCCACCCCATGGGTAGGATGCTAAGAAAGATGCAACCTGTATATATATTTTCTTATAATATATAGCTACGGAGGGGCACACTGAAATGATCGGGAATAGAATATTTCCGAGTGAGTTACAATAAAACCTTTTTTAGAATTTGAATACTGGCCTCTTAGAACCTTAATGACTTTCAAACAATTTAAAAAAATGTTTAAAAACTAAAACTATGTTGGTTTAAAGTTGACACGTCATTAACAGAAATGGAGCTCACGCGTGAACATTTCCGTGCCATAATTTATCACAATTTTCGTCACGGCTTATCTCAAGATAAATGTCTCAGCGAACTTGCTTTTGATATATGATGTAGAAGCACAGAGTTAAACGACAATATACCGCTGGTATGCCGAGCTCCGACGCGGTCGTATGTCGCTCAGCACTGTTTTTCTGCAGGTCGACCAAGAACATATTAGATGACCGTCATGTGACATACGAGCAGATTCGGACTGTTATCTGTATCGGAATGACTGCAATTCAGTCGATATTACACAATGAGCTGTGTGTAAGAAAGCTAGTTTCCCGCTGGGTTCCCCACAATTTGTCCGAAGAGCAAAAAAAAGAGAAAATAAAAAATCGTTTTATCTAATGAACCGCCTGTACTCCATCAACTAACTGAATTAGTTTATGCAGTTTTTTTATTTCATTAACGTCTATTCGCTAATGTTATTTCCTAAGCATTCGATTTCAGCAAATGTGTGGTATAATTTACCGGCTACTTTTTTTATAGGATAGGGTGACAAACGAGCACACAATCCACCTGATGGTAAGTGGTCGCTATGACCCATAGACATCTACATTTATCCTCAATAAAGAATCAAAATGCAGATGCGTTGTCACCCGTGAGGACTAAGATGGAACGCCTCTTCTCCAGTAAAAATCGTCTCCGGTTCTCTACACACACCATACGAAACACAGCAATGTTAAACTGCTATTTTACGCTGGTATTCTGTGAGAGCGTGGTCCTTCCCCGGTCGAGCCGACCTATTCGTGCTACAACTATACTACTAATATACCTGCAGCATGGCTCTACCACGTATAAAGCATGCAACGTGTTTTTTGCAGCAGTGTTCAGTCAGGGTTCTTGCCAAAATACGCAGTTTATTCTTACGTAATTCCAGGGCTTCTGAAGCGAGTTTACGATTATATCCCTGGATTAATGTTTTAGAATGTTTTTAGTTTGGTGTATCAGACCAGATCTTAAGTAATTAATTATGATAGAATTTCAATATTTGAGTCTTATTTGTGTTATTATTAAATAAGCTTAGAATAAATAATTTTGTTATGTACTCAATCTCCGCGAGTTAAAACACATCGATACGTTTATTTATTTAAAACGATCGAATCCATAAAATCGTGTTGACGTCACGGAGTGATAACCCTAAGGTGCTATATAATTTGTTTTATTTTGACTTGTTTTAAAACTAAAAGGTCAATTGCTGATTTAAATAAATAAGCAACGTATATTGATAATAACATACTGGCCTATTGGCGTGAATTTCTTATTAACTATAGCAAAAGTATTATATTACGACAGAACAGAGACAGAAGATATTAAATTGGTCCTAGGGCTGTCTTCAAGCTTTACTTATCATATATATATATATATATATATATATATATATATATATATATATATATATATATATATATGGTTAAAGTAAATGCTATATCGATCCATCCATTACAGCCTGTATAAGTCCACTGCTGAACATAGGCGTCACCTATAGGTTACCTCATAGGGAGGATGTCATAGTTGCTACGCTTGGCAGGCAGGTTGGCAACAGCAGCCATAAATAAACGTTGGATAAGTTACCAGTCACCAAAGGGAAGGATATAAAAAAAACAGTATTTGATATAAAACTATATATATTTACCTACTGTTACACGTTTCCTGCGAAGTTAATCATAATAGCACAGAATAACTAATAGATGTTAGTGTCGCTGCGCAGAGTACTTTCATCGTTAACATTATTTTTTTAAAAACTCTCTTTAAGCAACACGAGGAATTGTGTTCTGTGGGCAACACCAATGCAATAGCCACAGACATATACTAAATTACGTCCTCTAACGCAACACAACATTACAATTAATCTTTATATTAAGTAATTGTTTGTAAACAGAGTTATAAGCGTCAAATAAGACATATTTACGTAGTACTGTTATTTATTCTGTGACGTATTCAATTCCACTATTACACTCCTCAATGAGTGTTTTATTTCAAACAATTCCTTTCATATTCCCTAGCATGCATTTAAATAAATTAAAATATGCACAATATAATATGAGCCACTTACAGTTCACAAAAAATATACTCATGGACATACGCCTGGATAAGATCTGTTAATGTGACTAATTAGATGTAACATAATCAAAGACCGTTATTTAATAAATTTTTCGTTATTTCAAAAAAATTACAAGTGTGTGAAATTTCATTGCAATCGGTTCAGCCATTTCGACGATTAGCCCGGACAGACAGTTTTTAAAAATAGTAATTCATGTATTAATGGAATTCAAATAACTTCCTCAGCTCAATATAAGGCAGTTATTGCGATATTACATACATATAAACATTATCTTCACACATTCGTAAGGATCGATAGGTCGACAAAAACGCTGCGAATTGATTCCCCCACAGAGAAGCGCGCGTAGGCGTAGTTGTTGCCCATAAATCACATTCAATTTGGGATAATCTATACAAATAAATAAAATTGAAGTGTCTGTTTGTAATGTCAAAATTACAGCTTTTTACTAAATGCATATGAAAGTATATATGATACTTATAACAAAAACACAATTTTAAAAATGTTGTCTGTCTGTCGGTCTGTCTGTCTGTCTGTCTGTTTGTTCCGGCTAATCTCTGAAACGGCTGGACCGATTTTGACGGGACTTTCACTGGCAGATAGCGGATGTCATAAGGAATAACTTAGGCTACTTTTATTTTGGAAAAAGAATTAGGGTTCCGCTCAAAAAAAAACTAAACCCCCAAATAAGTCGAGAAGTCGCGAGGATCAGCTAGTTTCAAATAAAAGTAGGAGCCTTATTTATTGGTATTTTCAAAAACTGCAATAATGTTATATCATTATTTATATAATTGAACTTAATTTTAAAATTTGGCTACTCTTTGAAAAATAACCCTGTATATGCGTAAGTGATTTAAACGAAAACTTTTTGTATATTCTCTTTTCGTTTTTTCTTCTCTGACGTTTAATATCCCTATAAACTTATTCAACTTAATTCCTGAGAAGGCTCTGTTTGAAATCTGATAACTACGGACTGAGAGTTATTCTATCTTAGTTCTCAGTGATAACAACACATCTGTAGATTTCTTTTTCAGTGTGATGGCCACGTGTCCGTGGCCTGCGAGGCCATTTACACAATGCAATCTACTGTAATGAATACAAAAGTGGTTGTCTTTTGACATTTCTCTAACGGCTATTTAAAATGTATTCAATTTCTCAGCATTTATCAAAATTAATTACTTTTTAATAATAATACTTAAATTCTGAATGCAAACAATACTCAAAATAATAAAAATTGATGATACTATGCTATTAAAATG